GTTCTTTTCTTAAGGCTGAGTTACAACTAAGGTTCAAAGAAACTGGATAAACTAACTCAAGGCCTCTCAGTCCAGATTCCTAACCAACAGATTTACCTTGACTCCATGGCTTGTATTTTACACTACTTTTCACTATACCATACTCTCTCCCTTGACCCTAACTGTTTAAGGAACCAGCCCATCACTACTACAAATGCAATGACAGGAACAGGGGCTTAAGGTAACCATGTTGCAAAGCAGAAAACATCAATATTTTTTCAAATTACAATTTTTAAATTGTCAGCCAATTTAGGAAAAGAATTGCAAGATTATACAGGAATACACGCAATAAAACACTGAAAAATAAATCCTTCAGAGAGCACAGTTGGGTGGTGGGTGATATTTGGTCTTTAAGAGTAATGTTTATCCCACTCACTATTTTTTAATTGTCACACTGTAATTGTATAGACTTATGGGGTACAATTTGATGTTTCAATACTCATATATGTCATGTAATTATCCAATTCAGGTAGTTAGCATATCCATCACCTCATGCAGTTTTCATTTCCTTGTGGTGAGAACATTCAAAAGCCTCTCATAGCCATTCTATGATATACAGTACCTTGCTATTAACCACAGATACCCTACTGTGCAAGAAAATGGCAGAACTTACTTCTCCTATCTAACTGTAACTTTGTACCTGTTGACCAACCTCTCCCCATCCATCTTCTCCCAGCCTGGTAACCACTGTTCTACTCTCTGCTTTTATAATATCAACTTTTTTTTTTTAAGGTTACACATATAAGTGGGATCATGCAGTGTTTGTCTTTCTGTGCCTGGTTTATTTCACTTAACATGATGGCCTCCTCCAGGTTCATCTATGATGTTGCAGATGTGCCAGGCACAATGGCTCACACCTGTAATCCCAGTGCTTTTGAAGGCCAAGGAGGGAGGATTGCTTGAGGTCAGGAGTTGGAGATCATGTTGTTACCAATGATAGGATTTCATTCTTTTGTATAGATAAATAGTATTCTGTTGTACACACATATATGTATGTACATATGTGTATATATATATATCACGTTATATATCACATTTTCTTTATTTATCTCTTGTTGGACACTTAGGACAATTCCGTATCTTGGCTATTGTAAATAATGCTTCAATAAACACAGGAATGCAGACATCTCTTCAACATACTGATTTCATTTCCTTTGAATATATACCCAGTAGTGGACTGCAGGATCACGCAGCAGTTACATTTTTAGTTTTTTGAAGAACCTCCATACTGTTCTCTACAATGGCTGTATTAATTTACAATCCTACCAAGTGTGCAGGTGTTCCCTTTCTCCATATCCTCATCACCACTTGTTTTTCCCTTGTCTTTTTAATAACGGCCATTCTAAGAAAAATATCAACTAAATAAATAAGTAATAGCCATTATAACTGGAGTGCCGTATTTCCTCATGGTTTTGATGTGCCTTTCCCTGATGATTAGTGTTGCTGGGCATGTTTCATGTACCTGTTGTCCATTTGTATGTCTTCTTCTGAAAAACCTCTATTAAGGTCTTTTGCCCAGTTTTCAATCCAGTTATTAGGTTTTTTGCTCTTGAGCTATTTAAGTTCCTTATTATCCCACTCACTTGAAGTGCTTCAGAAACCCTAGGAGAGGGGGCAGCAATGTTATGTGTTCTTTGCACAGTCTCTCTCCCACACACTAACGTCACCTGCTCTTTGTTTTCTTCAGAGCTGGCTGAACTTGTTACAAGAGGCTGGAGAGGGTATCAAAGTGAACACTGTATAACTTTACTTCCTTTTCAGAGTAGCAAAATCACTTCTGCAAGCAGAAGTTTGGAAACATCTATGCTCTAACCTGAGGAAAAGATGGGTGCCTCCCTAACAGTGCTCAGAGCCCAGGAGGTAGCAGTGGCAGCCACATCTGTGCCTTTCGTTTGGACTTAGTGTGGATGTGCAGACTTCCACCAGAGAAGTTGGCCACCAGAGAAGTTGTTGTGATGATCCTGCCCCCTCAAAAGAGAGAGCTCCAAAAAAACACTGGAGGAAACAACTGTGTTTCCCACCCATACCCCTCCAGCTTTCCATAACAGTCAGACTGCCAGGTAAACAGGAAGCCGAGAAGAGACAGGAGATGTTCCTTTTTCAGGCAATCAGTCCAAAACACTGGGCCTCTACTCCCATCCAGCTTTTAAGAAAAAAGTGGGATCTGTCATTCATGCATATAGTCACCCATTCATCCATCCTACAAATGTTTCCTGAGCATATGTACTGGGCACTGTCATAGGTAAATACCTGCCTATGATTTAGCAATGAAGAAAATAAATAGTTATATTGTATATGAGAATGTGAAAAGGAACTATGGAGAAAAATAAACCTGGAGATGTGAAGAGAGAGAGAGTGTGTGTATATGCATGTATGTAAGCAGGAGGGCCAATTATAATCTTCAAGGAAACAAAAGCTGATAATATTTCTGAAGTTAGGCAATTCAGATTACTTCAACCACCAGACCTCCTCTGTCTAAACTCCTACTGTCTAACACAAATTCAGCATCACAATAAAGGAAAAGAGCCGTTTTTTTATTACTGCTGTCTTGCATTTTACTTCCAATCCCTCTTAGGCCACCACTGCTTCCTTCCCTCCAAACAAAAGTCTAGAACCCACCAGAATGTATCACTGTAGCCCCCATTAGTTTAATAAACTCAATCTAGGTTTTAAAGTCTTAAATTGCTAAAAATCTGCCACATTAGAATTCCACATTTTCCAAAACCACCACCACCAGAGCTGCCCTGTGTCCCACGGGTCTTGACTTCACAACAATCCTAAGTGGCCCCATGAAGACCAGCCCCCACAGTACACGTGGTAGGTCCGCACTGCTTCATCAGCACTGGCCTCCCAGCTCAATGCTCAAAGGTAAAGTGTCTGGCTGCAGATGTCATCCTTTCACAATCAACAGGATCTCCAAGAAATACATCAAGTGTCCTCTGTCTTTTTGTAGACTCTTCCCCCTTTATGGTTGATCTTGTTGCCTTTAAGCATAAGACAAGTCTGCACATCCACACTAGGTCCAAACCAAAGTAAATACTAAGGAATGCCAAAACCACAGGTATAATAACAACATGGAACCTGCTTGACTTTGGAATGGAACAGGGAGGGAATTCACTGAGCTGATCACAGAGAGACTCTGGACAACAGAGTCAGAAACCCTTCTGGACAGGACGCAGGCCTGAAGCCAGCCAGACCAGGCATCCTATAGCCAACTGCCCTCTGTGTCTGGACCCATCTCACCCATTAGATGGTGAATCAGCTGAAGGTAGCTGGCCCTCACCTCCTGCTGTCAGAACTCTTTCCAGAGCAGTGCAGAACATCCCACATATGTGCAGGGAACTAAGTGAATGAATGAGTGTTTAAGGGACAAACTGTCCTTATGTTTCTCACTTCACAAATCTTAAGGCCTTGTCCTCACTCTCTACTAAATGAAACATTTATAGACCAGGAACCGTGTTAAATGCACCATAAATAAAGATACACTGCCCTCAATGAGAGGGAGAGAGACAAATTCCTCTTCTGCCTTTTCGCCTCCAAGGCCTCTCCCAGGACACCACCCACCTCCATTTCCTGAGAGCCTGGGCACTAAGCACCACAGTACGGCCCGGGGCCCAACAAGGCCACTGCAGCCCCTGCCTCCTGCACAAATCCCTCCCCCAAAGCTCAAAACAGCTTCTGGAGCAGGCCCACGCCCTGCCCAAATTGTCCAAGTTGACCCTGCCACTCACCAGGACCACGGGTTACCAAAGCACCCTACCCATCCACCCCCATCCGTAATCCTAACTACCCTCTGCTACTTCCATGGGGAACCCTGAGCTGCCCACGGCTCTCTCCATGCAGCATCCTGCCAACTCCCACCCACTTACTGGGTCTCAGTGTAAGTCTGCCCTCCCCTAACCCAATCACCAGCTTTCTCAGAAGCTAAAGTCTAGCAAAGGCCATTCCCTTCACACTTGGTTCTGTGGTTTCTAGGTGTGTTGGTACCATCTCCTACCAGACTCAACCTCAGAGGAGCCTTCCCTAGATGGTCTGAGAGCACAGAGCCGCCAACTTACCAGGGGACCTAACGTAGGTCCTTTGACCTCTCTGGCCTCTGTCTTCTCCTCAGTAGAACAGGAATGACACAGATCTAAGGTCCCTTTTATTCAGATTCCAAAATTTTAAAGAAAAATCATACAGGTCCCCTAGATACAAATGAAAAAGTCTAACTGTTCCTTCACTGACCTGTTTAAACAGGTGTCCCAGCTACTGCAAGCTGGCGTCAATTTCAAAGAGCTTTGGATCACAACTTTTAGGGGAAAAAAAAGCTGTTTTTTCATCAACTTTACAAGCCTTTTTTTTTTTCTTACCATTCCCAGTAAGACACTGAAAGAGAGGAAAAAACTGATTTGTTCAATTTTTTTACTAAGATCACGAGCTTGGGATTCACCCAGCCTCGGTTTCCCCTCTGGGCTCAGAGACGGTCCCCGCTCGCCGCGGCCTCCCGAGCTGCGCCCCGCGCGCACCGCCGCGCGCCCCCAGCCGCGACACCACCTGGAGCCTCGGGCGCCTCCAGATGGCCGAGTCCGGGCCGGCCAGGCCACCCCGCTGTCACCTGGCCCCGCACAGGAGCCGCGCCGCTCCAGGGCGGCCCCGCCCCCTCCGGCCACCCTCCTGCCGGCGTTTCTCCATCGATTCCCGAACCGAGTCCGGCCTCCAGCTCACCGGGAGAGGCGGCGAAGACACCTGCCTCGCCCGGGAAAACGCACTAGCCCGGGAGCCCCTCTGCCACCACCTCAACGGGAGCCCGCGGGAGAAACGCAGAAAAAAAGGAAAGCAAGCCCGCAGCAGGGCCGTCTGGGCCCCGCGTCTCCCAGGAAATCGCCACTGGCGACTCAGCCCGGGACCGGGGGCCGCGGGCCCGACGGGGAGCAAGGCCCCGGGCCCGGCCACCGCGCTCGCCCCGGCGCGCCGCTTACCGGTGAGGCGGCCGCCCCCCTCGCCGTGCCCGCGGCGCCGCTGCAGGATGAAGTAGCAGCTGCTCTTCTGGGTCACCCAGAGCTTCAGCGCGTTCTTCAGCAGCACCTCCTCGGGCTTGAGCCACATCGCGACGGTCCGGTCGCGCCTGCCGGCCCCGGCTCACATCTCCCCGACCGCCGGCCGCTGTGGGCCAAGCCCGCTTGAGAGGAGGCGGCGAGGGCGCGCGGGGACCGCAGCCCGGCCAGCGTCCAGAGCTGTGGAAGCCCGCGGAGCACAGCGGGCGCAGCTCGCCCCGCGCACCCAGCGCAGCCCACACGTGGCCCCGCCCCGTGCCCGCCCCCGGCCCCGCCCCAGCCGCCGGCCCCGCCCCCGGTAGCCCCCACCCTGCGGCTCCCGCGTCGCCTCCCGGGTTTCCGCGTCCCAGCAGCTCCGGCCCACAGTTCCGGAGTGAAGGGAGGAAGTCCAATCCTGCGCCGGGCTCTCTCCCTCCCGCCCCGCCGCGCTCCCAGGGGGAACTCCGGAGAACCCGGGGCCACGACCTCGACCTGAGACGTGGAGGAGGGACCGGGCAAAAGCCCTCCTCTCACAGCTGCAGGTTGCCCCACCGAGGGCATCTCTCGTCGGGGGCGGGGGTCCAAATACACGCCAGAAAACCTAAGTTTGCTGGGTTTAAAACAGCAGCAACAGCAATTATAAATAACCAAAAAATAGCATAAGAATTAAAAACATTATTTTCCAACGTTTTTAACACTTGGTGCACATTTTGGATGCTCTCCCCGGGGATCCGACAGCGCTGTAGAGGCGTCAGCGATGTTTTGGGATCCTAAATAAAGCATCAGACCAGATTCAGCTCTGGACGTCCCTCGAGGGGCCAGGAGGTACCGATATTAGGGCCACCGCAGTTGGTGCCCTGGCCAGAAATAAAACCTTTGTTCTGAGAGAAATTGAAAAGCTGGAAAATATGGAGTAGGCGATGTGAAGAGGTCAGGTTTTAAATGCGTAGTTCCTCAAGGATGTTGTGGAAGCAGACGCACGGTGGCTGGCGTGGAGCAGGCTAGGGGACCTCCGACGGTCTCCACAGGGAAGCAGTTACATTCAACACCCTACCAAGCAAAAGAAGGAAAGAACAACCCCATCAAAACATCCCTGGGGTTTTGACAAAGGAATCCCTGACAAAAACGTGACTGATAACTAGGACAGAACTGAAAACTGGAAGTAAAGTCAATCCCACCGCCCCTCGACACACACATACACATCATCACCCCGACCCCCTTGGACACCTGGGAACTAAGGGAAGCGCCCCCAGAAGGGAGCAGCTCAGAAACCCTGACCGGACCTGGCAGACAAGAACCCTGTGGGTGGAGGACAGGAACGCCCACCCAGAGGCCAGGAGAGCATGGTCCAGGACTGGCAGCCACTAACAAATAGCCTCTGAATGAAACAGAGGAAGGAAGTCAGTGGTAATCGGGACCATTAGGGTGCACCAGGGCATATGGAACATTCGGGGACGGTAAGAAAACATTCCTTCCAGAGACATTCACTAGCACCTCCTACACAGGCCCACTGCCAGGCCCGGAATCCCAGAGATGAACTAGGAGACCTGTCTGCCCTGAAGAACTCACAGGTAGGAAAATCAGGCAGAAAAGTGCAGTGGGCTTCCTAACAGGAGCCCACGAAGGGGGCAGTGAGCAGAGAGCAATGCGCAGACCAGTGGTCAGTTCTTGGGGGAAGGAACAGAACAGCTGTTGCTAGTCCAGAACTTGAAAATGAATATGGGTTTGACAGGAGGTTAAGCAGGGGAGGTCATGTCTGGTAAATGGATCAGCACAGATGACCTTGTGGTTTAGAGCAGCCTCTGGTGGCTGATAGCCCCAATCCAATCCTGCAACTGCTGCTAGTAAGCTGTGTGGTCTTGACCTTGGGCAAGATACAAACAAGCCTTGGTTTATTCAACTATAAAATTAGGATAATCATAGTGCCTCCTTTGTAGGAACTATCAAGAGCATACTGTAGTTAAGTACTTAGAAAACAAAGTAAGTACTCAACGAACATCCGCCATTATTATTAAATGTACAAAAACTCCTGAAACGGTTCACACATCCTAACCCATGTTTTAAACATTATTCAGCTCTAATCTGCCAAATATTAAATATGACAGAAGCATGGAGAGGGATATGAAAGTTGTTGGGAAGCCATGGGAGGGCACTATGAGGTACTGTGTTCCTATTATATCTCTCCCCACCTCCAAGCTCCTGCTTGTGCCATTACCCAAGTCAAATAGAAGCCAATAGGAGGCAAGGGAGCTCAGGCTGCAATCTGTGGTGGTCAGCCTCCCAGGCACACAACAAGGTGAAGGAGGATTGAGAGGAGATCTGGAGGGGCAGGTGGAGAAAATCCAGCAGAGCCCTAACCACTTCCCGCTGTCGCTCATCTCCACATGCCCATCACCTTTGATGGTGTTACAGGTTGACTTGTGTCTCCCCAAATTCATATGTTGAGATCCTAACCCCCAGCATCTCAGAATGTGACCCTATTTGGAAAAACGATGATTACAGGTGTAATTAGTTAAGATCAGGTTATTAGGGTGGCCTCTAATCCGTAATTACTGATGTCCTTATAAAAAGAGGAAATTTGGAAAGACAAATCCACAGGGAGAACACCACGAGAAGACTGGAGTTGTACTGCTACAAGCCAAGAAACTGCCAGAAGTCGGGAGAGGGGCCTGGAACAGACCCTTCCCTGCCAACAACCTTGATCTCAGATGTCTAGTTCCCAGAACTGGGAGACAATAAATTTCTGTTGTTTAAGCTACCTAGCTTCTCATACTTTGTTACAGCCGTCCTAGCAAATTAATCCAGTTGCTTCTGTAATTCTCCCCACAGCTGTTCAGCAGCAAGTCTCTTCAACCTTTCGGAAATGGACTGCATTTCCGACCAAGACCCTGGCTGATAGCAGAGTGACCCCAGGAAACAGTTTTTCAACTGTGGGATTCTGGCTGGGTTACCCACAGATTCATGCGTGCATAGGGAACAAAAGGGATGCTCGTAACCCGTGGCATACAGAGGCAGCAGGATTACTCCAGTTAGCGCTGAGAGTAGTGTGAGGGGCAGTTGGACCACAAGGTTTTGGGGGCTTTTGCTGCTGTTGCACTTGATTGCTATGGCAACAGTGATAATTATAATGATTGTAGAGTGAAATGGATGCTTCTGACTGCCCTGGAGAGTTTTTAAACAATGGAAAAGATAAGCATGAAGTATTAAATTCTCATTTCAAGGTACAGATATGCTGAAATTCAAAGAACCACTTATCTAGGATAGGCACAGGACAGAAAAGGTTCATCTTCAGATCCTAAATATAATCGTAAGAATGACAGAATTGTGGCAAAGGTTAAGTGCTCAACCTCAGCAAGTTCGTTTGCTAAGATTAGGACACTGATTTGGAATGAATAGGACTATAGGCTTGTGATAGGAACATTTGGACAGACACAGACAAGCCGAATTCCCAAATCCTAAGGCTCCCTTGTGTACAGAAGCAGCCCCACCTCCCCTGTGCAAGGACATTAGCCTTCACTTACACTAAGACCTTTCAAGACTTCACTGGGGTCTTTGCCTCCCACCTGGATGACTGTTTTCCTCCAAACTTACCCCTGGTGCACTTCATTGACTCTAGGACCATAACAAGAATAAACTCTCTGGCCGGGCGCGGTGGCTCAAGCCTGTAATCCCAGCACTTTGGGAGGCCGAGGCGGGTGGATCACTAGGTCAAGAGATCGAGACCATCCTGGTCAACATGGTGAAACCCCGTCTCTACTAAAAATACAAAAAATTAGCTGGGCATGGTGGTGCGTGCCTGTAATCCCAGCTACTCAGGAGG